ATTTTTTATATTTAAAATAAGATGTTTATTTTGTATTTGATTATGTTTATCTGCAATTAGTTACACGAATTCAAATATGGAGCTTTAATAAGTTGTATTTACGCACAATCTACTTGTAATCTTGAGTTTTAAGTAATATGCATTAATAAACTGTATTTTACGCATAAAAAGTAGTTTTTAAGAGTTTTTGTCAAATGTTTTATAATATAGTATAGATTATTTTTTTATATAATTTAATTTAAGTTTAATAATGAAATAATTTATTTTTGGTTTAATAATATAACATTTTATAAAGATAATAATTAAGTATTCTAATAGAACTTAATGATTATCCTAATTATATTTTAAATATTTTATATTTAAAATGAGATGTTATCTTGTATTTGATTGTGTTTATCTGCAGTTAGTTACACGAATTCAGATATAGAGCTTTAATAAGTTGTACCTACGCACAATTTACTTGTAATCTTGAGTTTTAAGTAATATGTATTATTAAACAGTACTTTACGCATAAAAAGTGGTTTTTAAGAGTTTTTGTCAAATGATTTATAATATAGAATATATATTTTTATATATAATTTAATTTAAGTTTAATAATAAAATAATTTATTTTTGGTTTAATATTATAAATTTTATAAAGATAATAATTAAGTATTCTGTTAGAATTTAATGATTATATTAATTATTATATTTAAAATGAGATGTTTATCATGTATTTGATTGTGTTTATCTGCAGTTAGTTACACGAATTCAGATATGGGATGAAATCGGATAAGGATGAAATTGTTTAGGGATGAACGGATTTAAGAGTTTTACCCAAATGCTTTATAAGATAGCATAGATTTTGATACGTAAGATTTTAGCATATCAAAAATATTGAATGCTACAATTTATTGGGTAAGCGCTTACCTCGGTAAGAGTTGTCGTCCGCACTTACCGTGTAAGACTCTTCATTCTTCTCATCGCTCTTTACCCGGTAAATTTTTGGCCCTTTTCATATTCATCCAATGAGAAAATTTATCCGCTAAACACTTACCAAGTAAGTATTTAGTAAACGGCCCCTTAATTCATTAACCTTTAAATGAACAGCTAATTATCATAATAGTTTGCACTTATGTATTATGGCAGTTTGATACAACTTTCGAGGGAGGATTAAGAGGTTTTATAGTATGGTCGAGTGTGATACCTGCACAACAATCAGGATATTTGCTACACAAAATGTTGATTGCATCAGATTCCGAAGAAGTCCAATTGGATGTCCTTGTAGGTAATATCGATTATATGAACCACGAGTTGCTGTTCATAAGACGGAAAAAAATTAAGTTATAAAAACACACAAACACCTATATAGTAATAATTATAATAATAATGACGATGACGATGAAACATAAGACATAAAGACATAATTGTCATATATTGCACTGTTTAATGCGGGTTGTAAAAAATCGTGTGCGTATGATCGGTTTTTCAATCGCCACCCTTGTTATATTACTAAATGTGATATCGTTCGCTAAACCCGACCTTTCCAAAAAGATATTGAAAAATTTAGAGTAGTTCGATTAAATAAGAATTAGGACATATATAAATGGGAAACGCAAAAGATATATTTAATTAAATTTTGAACTAAATGGAGAATATAAGTACTCATACATACAGGCACGGTTTTGATTCGAACTCTATTTTAAGTACCGGTGAAGACGGTGTTGATAACTGTAACATTATATTTATGGAAGCACGTTCAAATAAAAACTACTCAATTTGTATAAACCGTGGAAACCTCATTCAAGCAATCATAATTTTTCATTTTGTTCATTTTTTTTGTAATTATGAGAGGTTGATTAACCATTTTTATTGTGGAGGGTGTTAATCTTGGATATTATCATCTTCATTATTTTAATTTTAAAGAAATACATGAAACAGTTTCATTAAAATTTCATTAAATATTATATGAAACAATTTCATAACCATATATGAAACAAATTCATCACAAAAAAGTATTATATGAAACAATTTCATAACCATATATGAAACAAATTCATCAAAAAAAGTATTATATGAAACAATTTCACAAGATTAAACAATTTCATGAAAATTTTTCATAAGATTAAACAATGATATCGACGTATGAGGGTGGTTTGTACGATTTTTACAAATGAGAGTGGTTTTCATTTGTTCGTTCCCCCTCTCTCTCTCTCTCTATATATATTTTATAATTAATTAGGTAATAAATTTGAATATGCCATTTACCATAAACTCGTATTGTTTTTCTCTTAAACCGTTAATAATATCAGTTCATATATTACACATGTATATGTTTTCTATTTATTAATTCTATTTAAATAAACTGATTTTTTCTTTCGTCATAAGGGTTGTTTGGCATTGCTTATTTGAAATAACTTATGTTTTTCTAGAAAAGTGTTTATCAACTTATTTTAAGTTAGAATGATTTAACTTATTCAAAAACTTTTTATTACCGGTTTGACACCGGTATAAACTATTTATCCAAACATTCAAAAGTGTTTATTATCGGTGGCACACCAAAATAAGTCAATAAATTATATTTATAAGTAATCCCAAACATCCTCATAAGTCACTTAAGGTTCAATTTATTTATAACAATTATATCATATGATGTTGGGTGTTTTGTTCTAATTATTTGATATTATCTCAATTGTTTTACTCCTTTAAAATAAATTCTAAATAAAGTAATTGGACCGATATGAAACATGGGCTTTAGCCCATTTAAATATCAAGTTTTACTAAAATTACAAAAGAGCTACATGAACCACATATTATGTGACCAAGTCCATAAGATAGAGAGTATGGATATAATTCGATTCACATGTGATTAATCTGGGCAAAACCAAACCAAACCAAACCATTCATCGGACATATTGTTGAATGTAATCTAATATGAACATAGAAAAAACTGAATAGAGAGACGAGAGAGTATTTTGTATTAAACTGGAATGAACAATGGTACGACCTATTTGTTAGTTTGTTAATCCGACAATACTCCCCACGAAGACGAGCATGAAGAGTAGATGTTCTTCAAAACCATCTTGGATGCCTTAGCTCGATATTCAATTTTCAGTGGATGACCACGAGACTGTTTAGCTCGATATCCAATGGATGACCAAGAGACTCTTGGTTGTTTCTTTGATCTCCAAGATTTTCCCAAGAACACACAAAATCAAGTAACGGGTCTCCGAGTATCTGTGCACTTTCCTGGTCGGAGTCGCCATATGCTTAGAGAACACATTTGAGGAAAACACCCCACATCTCAGTTGTTGCTTCAAGTATATAACCAAATGACGAGCCATTTTCAGATGAGGAAGTTGCCATGGACTGAGATAGCTTTTGCAGAGCAAACTATATATATATATATATATATATATATATCTGAAAGCGTAATATTGAGATATAATGACCTCCCAATTAAAACGACGATATCGATGGGTCTATTAATATTTCACCATTTTTATCATTCAGAGAGACATTAGGATCTATAGGTGCAGTGCAGTAGCTGGTCTTCACCCTCAATAAACCAATACCTTCGGAGATTTGTAATGCATATTATTGCTGAGGTATTGAAATTCGTTATACTGATCTTGCAACTTCTAAACCAAAAAAAAAAAAAAATCTCTCAAGAGCCAAGGTCCTTGAGTTTAAATGTATTGATCATCCGCGTACACCAGTAATGCATGTCCATTGCCCTTATAAAACACTGAGTTATCCGCTTGGGACTTATGAAATCCAATAGATACCATGAATTCTGAAAATTTGGTATTTCATTGTCTCAAGACTGGTTTTAAACCATATATAAAACGTGTGTAATCTACAACATATTACTTAATCATTACGTGAGGACTCCCCCCCTAAAAACGGAGTAACCATGATAGATGTCCATATATACTTCCTGATGAAGAAGATTGGTTTTAAATGAATGATTTGACTTGATTAAAACTATGTACAGAGATTGCGATCTTGGTACCCCCGACGCAACTGCCGTGCCGTCTCTAGTAGGAGAATTGGTGTCGATTTGAACTTTCAGAATCGATAATAATGTTTAATTCCAAGACACATTACAATTTTACAACTCTTTATCCAAAAGTAAGAAAGATTTGGAAAAAGGATAAATCTGTCATTCTTGCAACAACGTTGTAATATTTATAAGAATGATGGTTTACATCAATAAACCAAACAAAGTGATTGAAAGAAAAGTTGAATGATTATGCCCCCAGAAGAACACTCGTACAAATTCAAAATCGTGCTTTCATATCTTCGTTATTTGTCGAAACTTTTTGCTCATCGGCATCTCGAACAAGTATACCAAAACACGAGTTGATAAGCGAGAAGAAAAGAAAACATACCGATGTTTGCAGGTCAATGGTATATGCTACATTGAAGAAATATATCTATCTGTCTGTCTATCTGTCTGCTACGATGGAACTCCGTAACCATGCTTACACATCAACCCCAACACCCGATGAAATTTATGCCTGTAACCTTCTTCCTGTTCCGAGTAGGCCTTGTATAATATATAAAGTGTTCTTTTTGAGTACCCATAGTTAAACTTCTCCATTTCAATAACAACCTGTTCCATTTCCTGTAAGCGTTTCTCTGACGACAACATCACCATAAGCCCATGATACAGCGACCGATAAATTCTCCACCCTGAATCCTCTGCACGCTTTATGAATTTCGCCAACCGCTCCACAGCATTGTTTCTAAAATAACTTCCAGCGATACAGCGCATGATTTTCACAGTGTTCACACTTGTGTTATGCTCAAATGCCTCGTCTATTGACCTATCCATTTCGTCAACCAAATTTTCTTCTGCGTATACCCTAATAAGTAGCACATTTAACCACGGTCTGTACTCGTTCTCAGGGATTAGTCTCATTAGTTCTTCAATCCTTTTGACTCTATGTGTATAACTACTACTACAGTATGCACATATCATAGCTCTTATTAGAGAAATATGCTTTTCACGAACATGCGATCCCACCATTTCATAAATCTCTTCCATTTTCTCCAAATTACCTGAATGCGCATACCCACGAAGCATTAGCAAGTGCGTACTGAGATCAGGGTATACGGATCCCGTCTCCATCATCGTATGGTAAGTATTCTCCATACTATCCCACATCCAAGCAGTGAGATAACCGGCAATCATGTTGTTGTATGTGTTCAAATCAGGGGAGATATTCAAATCTTTCATTTCTTGGAACACCGACTCCATTTGATCTGTAAGAACCCTTTGGCCAAAAAGTGATATGAGCATGTTAAACGTAACTGATGTGGGGCAGCAGTTGATATCTTGCCTTAAATCACGATAAACCGACTGGCATTTCTCACTGAGGCCATTATACATATAAGCACCCATGAGGGCATTGTAAGTAGAAACATTCTTGATCCGATTGGTTGCAGCTTCCATGAAAATTTCAACGGCTAGATCTACATTCTTCATTCTACCCGCGATTTTAATGCCTTTCACATACTCTTCTGATGATATAGGCCTCCTATTATCTCCTCGTCTCCTTCTCCAATTGAAAACCTATGGATTTACAAGGTAAGTGATTACGACAAAGATGAATCTAAAAATTTGGGCAATCCCTTTCAGCTACTTCATATGTCAAATTCCAATTGACATCAACAGAACAAAAGGGAACTCTTTTCAAAATACAACTAGCTTAATAATTCCAATCAGGCATAAGCAGATTAACTATCTTTCCCCAATTAACTGATTGGGCATAATAAGAAAAATGATCACTATACCTTGATAGCCAAACTTGGAGAAGATTCCTCCAATAACCTGAGAAGCTCAAGCAAAGCAGCACCATCAGAATACATCTTGAACAAGTTCCACCCCTCAACTTCCAAAAATGTTTCAAACGAGGTCTCATCTTTCACATTCTTCATCAATTCATCTCTGAATACAGAAACTTGTTCAATCAATGCTTCTTTAGCTCGCACCTCAGCGTATACCCATTTATTGGCGAATTGTGCATACAAATCCATAATGGGTTTGGATGAAGATTCGGATTCTTCGGTAGAAAACCATCGGGCCGAGGTGGGTTTGGGGTCAGGTATTGTTGTTGGATCCGTTAGGCGTTTAGATAAATAAAATCTATGGTGGAAATACTGTAGCTCAGATCTTGCTGCTGCTATATCAGATATTTTAAACACCCTCCTCATCTTTACCTGAAGCCGAGGAGATTGTTTGATAGATCCTGAAAGATTTAAGTGACTAAAATGGTTAAGAGGCTCTATATGATTTATTGCAAAATGAAAAATGGTTGTTCGATGAGTGTTCCAAATAGGTGGCCTGAATGACAGAAAATTGCCATTTTAACCCTTGATACAATTTAGTGTTGAACAAAATATGACTGTTTGATAAGTGTTCTGAATTAATATATCACCTTGTAAATATAAATAACATTAATAGTTTCAGCACAATTCTTAATTTGAATAACATTAGTTTTTCAAGTTATAAATCAAACAAAAACAGTCATATTTTAAATGATAACATTAATAGAAACATATATATCATATCGATCCAAAAAAACATAACATTAGTTTTTCAAGTTATAAATCAAACAAAAACATAACAGTCAAAACATAATAGTTTCAGCACAATTCTTAATTTGAAGCATATAACAATAATTGATTCGCAATCCGATCACATAATTTTAAATGATTTACGCTTTGATACAAATAGAAGGAAATTTTGCAATGGTTTCTAATGATTTATGCAAGGGAAACAACGAGAATGTTTTAACAAGAGATTTAAATAGTCCACTTTTCTTCAATCATGACATTTTTATGAGCTCATAATTCAATTTATAAATACAGAAGACCAAGAATATGCATAGTAAAATAAATTTGGGAAGGGAAGGTCTCAATCATGCTGGTGATATTATAATTATACATGCCATGGAAAAGTCTACCTCCTAATTGAGAACTTCTCTAGTTGCAAATTCTTCACCTTGTTGCTTGTATGCCTCAAGTTACAGATCTTTGAAATTCTTCTCTATGTACCTACAGGAAGCACTTTGAATAAGAAAGTATAGAGATGTTCTTGAATGTAGGTCTGCTATCGACAAAATTATAGATACACTCTCTATGGCATAGTTGCGGCTGTTTTTTGAAGCCATTGATCGCTTTTGAAAGCAGTATAGCATATTTGGACAATCATTGATCGTTTCAAATACCTAATAGGATCATATGTCTTGTATGCACTAAACTATGCAATAAGAAACCCATTTACCAGCCACTAAACACAAAATTCAACCCAAGAACCACCCAATAAACACAACATTAAACCCAAGAACCTGCCACTAAGCACACCATTGACTGTAGATTCATATATGTTAAAGCTGTAAACTGAGTGCAGATTCAAAAACAATGGCATACCACACCTCAATTCCTTGAGATGACAGTCTCCAGTTCAGGGGCAGACCCACTTTAATAGATACGGTGGCCTTGCAGATACTTCTAAAAACATTTTAGAAACAAATCCCATGTTTGTAAAACAGAGGAAGCACACACTTTTAGAAACAATCAACAGAAGCTTAGGTGATGTGGGGTGGGGTAGCATGGAAAACCACTCAACAACTATAACTGACTTGAACTAAAGTTAACTTCCTGAAAGTGTGCTAACTGAAATTACTATAGGTACTGCTTAACATCCTCTTGGTTAAAATATTTTTGCCCATTTTGGAGAAGTTTTAGCGTATAAAGGACCAGCTATTTTTCCCAGATTTTTTAGAAAAGGTCTTGGGGGGTTCTTTTCATCTACATCTATCCCGATGAGCCGTCTATCGATTCATTGCAATTGATGTTTGATCCCGAAGAGAAGGAAGATATCTTCAGAAAGTGGTTTTTGTGATCCGATCAAGAATCAAACTTATTTAAACGTTCCGACTCTATTAGGGACATACAAGACCACAAAACAACAAAAACTCTACAAAGACCTATATCGCTCATTGATCAATCAAAGAGAGATTCAACAACCGAAAGAAAGATCGATTCTAGCAAACCAACCGAATCGCTGCCTTTAAGAGGCCACTTTTGGGCAACCTTCTCAACTACTAAGAGATCCATTTGAGGAACATGGGGACTAATTGAAGTAATGAGCCTCCCAATATTAATAATACTGGGTAATGAAATTTGCATGTTGTTCACTGCTGCTGCATTATAATTAACAGTACCAATTTCACTATCGATTCCCCCAAAGAAAAGAAAAAGAGAAGGTTTGTGTACATTACAGATGTTCTTTGACAAACAAAGATTATGGATCTTTTTGGCATTACCTTGGTCAGAATGTGTGCAAGATGAGTTCTTGAAGGGGTAACAAACTAACAATATTCGCCCTTGTTGTATCTTTTCTCAAACAAAGTGGCAATTTGTTTCAGTGTGCTCTGTAAGTGCATATTCAACAAGATTTAATGAAAGGACAATAGCTAGTTTGCTGTCATCAGTAATTTGGGATAGATAGTCACAATGACCAACATCAAATTAAAAGATGGACGACAACATGATCATAAGTGTAAAGTGTTGTTTGTTGCTTCTATTTCAGATAAGTTCTTTGTATTCTTAACAAACTAATATCAAGTAAACAACAAATCCCTTTCACAAATATAATACAAGATTGAAGACATGGTATTCTTCACAATGTTTACCAACTTTCCTATGATAGAATGGAAAATTCTACCTAAAAACTATGAATAATGATTACAAAGGTAGGTTCTATACCAATTGATCAAGAAACTGTCTGTATACTCAGAAATGTATCTCCTAAGATTATGAATCGTAATTTGTTTCACTTTAGAACAAATTAACACAAACCCACCTCAATATTCCCCTGGAAATTCAAAACACTCAGAAACCCAACTCAGATTTTCCCCTCAAAATTCAAGTTTATCCAAAAGATTTAACTTTTTGCACTAATCCAGACAAACCGACTTTAGAATCACAAATATTCAACACTCAATTGGTTGTACATTACAAGTAGCTCATGCATAGCAAACAATTTTGGAACTGTTTTTGCACATATTTAACTGCTGTTCAGCAGCTCATTGCTGCTGTCCAGTTTTACTTTTTTGCTAAATCCAAACATGAAATACTTTACATAATGGCAAGGTAACAAGGGTTTCTACAAGATAGCAACCAAGAAGTGAACAGAACCAAGATAGCAATATGAAGCAAAGAGAACCTACAAAAGGAAATACACAACAACCAAGATGGCAACATTAATCAAGCTTCCATCATACATTCTACTTCAAAGCGAACATGTGTTGTTCATTGATGAATTTTATCAAACAGTTGGTGCTCATAAAAACACTTTGATATCATGAGTGATACCTACTTCGTGAGGATTACTCAATAACCATGGATTCCTTGCAAGATTCAACAGAAAGCTAAAATCTGCCAAGTGATTAAACATTTAATAGCTAACGCAATAATCAGATATCCCTTTGAAGACTGCCTAGTAATTAAACACTTTCAAGTTTCAATAACACTAATAATTAACTAAATAATCATGGATTCCTTGTAAGACTGCCAAGGATAAAATATTGAACACTTTCAAGTTTCAATCCAATACCATCAAAGCAATAATTTTGATGATCTGCAATAGATTTGTAAATGATTGGAGGATGGAATATTGAAATATTACAATGACAAATTGACAATCACACAACACAAACACCAAAATACSAGGTAATTTTCAWTTATTTTATGAATTAAACTCTAGAAATATCTAATTTCAACTTACCAATCGATCATAACCTTGACTCTGACAGTCGAGAACTCGAGATGGAGAGATTCTATTCTGAGTTTTGGGCGACTCKGTTTCTGTTTCATTGAGGGTCCAGATTAGACAGGGCCACAAACCGGACTCGGCCCGGCCCAAAAGATCCTGGACTGAAATGAAACCGTAACAATCCGGATTGGGAACGGTTACATCGAAAATACTAAGGTCCGGTTAAAAATACTTATAACCAGTTACAATAACCGGTCCCGGTCCCGTGCCGGGTCCAAACTAGTCATATATTAAAGAACATTTACTTTTTGATAAATTTTTAAAAATATTTTAATGTTATTCTAATATATTTTAAAATATTTAATTARGACAATCAAATACACTTAAAAAATACRTTMTATTGTAGTTTTATAATTGRTTTTCAATCAAATACACTTAAAAATTACATTTTATTATAGTYTTATAATTAGTTTTCAATCAAATACACTTAAAAAATATGTTTTATTGTAAATTTGTAATTTGATTTTCAATCAAATACACTTAGAAAGCTAAAAATACATATATAAATACATTTTTTTTTGAAAAATAATTGGGCCGGCCCTAGGCCGAGCGTGTAATCGATCCCAAACCGGTCCAGGGTCGGGCCTTGTTTTTGGATGAAAACCATAACCGGTCCCTAACTGTCGATCCCAAACTGGTCCCAATCAGTCTCAGACYGGATCAGTCCTAAACCGGTCTCGGTCCCAATCTCGATCCTCTGCCGGTAACCGGAGGGTCGTGCCCACTTGGCCATCTCTAGTCCAGATTACACAAGGAAATTTGGAATTGGGCTTAAATTTTTTATTGTTAAACGTCTGGATGGGCCAATCCTAATAACACAAGCCTTTACACCATGGATCTAAATATCGGCAAAATTTGAAATTAAATTACCATTTTTGATTTTGCAAATATATGTTTTAGGGGTTGTTTGTTTACCTCTTAATGATACCATTAAGAGGTAAGGGTCTGATTCGGTCAGACATTTTCTTGTTTGGATAGGTTTTAAAAAATGTCTGAATCATACAGAGTCTCTTAATCATCCTGACCACTTAATCATTCTACACTAAACCATTCAGCAACTGTCAAACAGCCCCTTAATTGAGGTTGGTTCAGAGGCTGAGCTATATAAATTTGAAGTAGATAAATTTGGGCCTTAAACTTTTTTGCTTCCTATTCAAATACCAAAACTTAAATGCTAATAGACGGATCTAACACTTACGATTTAGAAAAGAGAAACGATATAACACCCAACGTATCTACAAAAGGATGATATGGAGATTACCCTTTTGAATTTTTGGGGTTGATGCATGTACATGAGGAGACCCAATATCATAAACATTTAAAATCAATATTTTTAATAAACCTTTAGCAAGTTTTTTTTTAAAGTATATAATATTTATATACGACAAATGCAACAAATAAACTCATGCATCCTCCTCACCTATGGTGAGGTTTGAACCCCTGACTTTCTAGAAGGCCAAAGGCTTTCTTGTAGGTTTTATTCTTTCTTAAGGTAAATAAATTGATAATAAACATAAATGGAGGAGTTTAGATGGCGAGAGATCTGTTGGCGAAAAAGGAGGACGGAGGATGGTGGCTGGAGAAAAGTGGCTGACGATGGAGGTGTAATATGAGTCTGGATTTTATTTAATAAATGATGTGGATATATGTAATCTTAATTTTTTTTATTCTTTTGCCACGTTATTTTGAAAGTTTCGGTTACTTTCTGAGTTGGTAAAGGAGGCCCTTAGTAATTAATTTTTATATCCAATATTTGAATTAAATTTTATTTTTTATTATGATAATTTTTTTATGATTGTAACAACCCATAATTTTATATAACATCACATAATTACATTTGTATATAACCATATATTTTATATATATCATGAAATACAAATTTACAAAATTGGTCCCAATATATACAAAAACTAAATTACAAAAGTAGCTAACAAACTTTTTCACATAATCCCAGTACAAGACTTGTATACATAACAAGTAATCAGGAACAAATAACATCAAATCGTACCAAAATCTACATGCAAACAATAATAAATTCTTCATAATTTCCTCTTCCCCTTATCATCCGATTGTATCCAACATGTAATGCACATTTTAAAACACCAAAATGAGGGTTAGACCATGAGGTCTAGTGAGAAATTTCTTTGATTGTTATTAAGGGGTGAAAATCACAAAAACACTTTTATAAATTTCATATTTGTATAAATAACAAATAAACATAGTTTTATCAAACAAACCTCTTTTATCGCATCAAAATGATGAGACAATAGCCATTTATCGCGTCAAATAATCAAATATACCCTTTATCGCGTCAAATAATCAAATATACCCTTTATCGCATAACATATAAACTTGTCGCATCATATAGATAAAACCATAATTTTCTCGCATCACATGGGTGAGACAACCCCATTTCCTCACAACATACAAGTGTGAGGAACCATCTATCGCATCCAATGTATGCGATAAACACAGTTTGATGCGACAAAACTCCCTTCTTGCATCACAAGGGTGCGACAAAACTCCCTTCTTGCATCACAAGGGTGCGACAAAATCAACTCATCGCATCAATAGAATGCGATAACCCAAGTCATCGCATCACACATGTGCGATAACTCAAAGTCATCGCATCATAAAGATACGACAACAGTTTGTCATATGATCAAAATCCCAGTTTTCACATATAGATGATTATGCCACCCTTATCCCATAATACCCCTCTCCTGATTATGTCACCCTTATCCCAAAATATACATCTCCTGATTATGCTACCTTTATTGGTCTATTCCAATAATTTGATATTAACATATCAAAATACAATATTATGCTAAAAATGGCATAATGGCAGTTTTAGAACACCCCACATATAGAACCATATGGTTCTTGTTCAAACATAGTAAGATGAAAGTTTATAAAATAAAACCCACCTTATGATCACAAAGAGATGCAAATATGAAGATGAAAATTGACAACAATTATCCAGTACAAGAACCACAAAAATCAGCTTCTACTTACTTCCTCTTTTGGTTTTGTTTTCTCAGCTCCAAAACACACAGTAAAAACTCCTTTTTGTTTTTTCCTTCTTTCTTTTCTTTTTACCATCCCAAGGAGATATAACAAATATCTCAACTAATAGGAATAAACAAGTAATGAGGTGGTGATAATCAAAATAAACAGCTCAAGTTACCACCTTTATTCAAAAACAACCCCGGACTTTATAACCGATAAACCCAATTATCATATTATCCTTCCTCAAAAGAACTCCATTTTGGAATTCATTCAATCAAACAACTGAGGATATTTAGCTCTCATCTTAGATTCTAGTTCCCAAGTAGCTTTTTGACCCTTATGAAAACGCTACTATACTTTCACCAGATTGATTTCTTTATTCCTCAATATCTTTGTCTTCTAGTCAGTGACGGCCTCCGAGGTTTCCATGAAGTTCAACTTATTATCAATCTGAACCTCAGGTAGTGGCACGACCATATTTGGATCAGTAAACACTTTCACAAGTTTGAAACATGTAAAGTATTGTGAATAGCCTTAAGTTCTTTAGGCAACTCTAACTGATACGCTACTGTACCAACCTTTTACAAATTCTGAACGACCTAATATATATCTTGGACTGAGCTTATCACTCTTCCTAAATCGTACAATACCCTTTCACGGAGAAACTTTTAACATCACAAAATCTCCTTCCAGGAACTCAATCGATTTTCGGCGTCTGTCAGCATAACTTTTCTATCGGTCCTGAGTTGTCTTTATTCTTTCTCGGATTTGATCTATATTTTCAGTTGGTATCCGAACCAACCAACTGTTTTCCCCCACCTCCTTCCAACATAACGACTTTCTGCACTTTCTACCATACAAAATCTCATACAATGCCGCTTGGATGCTGGAATGACAACTGTTATTATAAACAAATTCAATCAAAGGTAAATGATTCTCCCAAGATCCCCAAACGTCGATGACACAAGCTCTCAACATGTATTCGAGGATTTGATTTGTTCTTTCACTCTGCCCATCTGTCTAAGGGTGATACACTGTATTTAGCCGAATCTGAGATCCCATGGCTCTCTAAAAGCTCTTCCAAAACTTTGAGGTAAATTTACTGTCCTATTTAAAATGATTGAGAAGGGAACACAATGACGAGTCACTATTTCCTTGATATAAATCTTCACAAGCCTTTCTAAAGGATAATTCACTTTAATCGGTAGACAGTGTGAAGATTTCGTTAGCCGATCTACATTAACCCATATGGCATCATATTCTTTTGGAGTTCACGGTAGCTTTATGATAAAATTCATTGTGATATGATCCTATTTCTACATAGGAATTTCCAAAGACTGCAAATTCCCATATGGTCGTTGATGTTCAATCCTTAGTTGTAGACACGTTAAACATCCCTCCATGTATTTTGCAATATCTTTCTTCAATCCTGGGCACCAATAGAATGGTTTTAGACCTTTGTATATTTTATTGGTACATGGATGAATAAAGTATCAAGATTTGTAACTTTTGTCTAAAATTAGTTTACGGTTATTCCTAAAATGTGGAATCTAGATTCTATCCTGGAAACATAGAATTCATCTATCGTTCTTCGTCAGGGTTACTAATATTCCTTCAAAATCTCGTTAAGAATGTTAGGGATTCAGTTTGCTCTTAACGCAGTGGCTTTAATCATTTCACTCTTTTCTTTTCTATTAAGCACGTCAGCCACCACATTAGCCTTCCAGAGGTGATAAAGAATTTTGTAATCGTAATCGTTCACCAGTTCGATCCATCATCTTTGCCGCATGTTTAATTCCTTCTGGTTAAATAAATGTTGAAGACTTTTATGATTAGTGTCAATCTGACATTTACTCCCTAATAGATAATGCCTCCAAATCTTTAAAGCAAAAACGAAGACAATAAGCTTCATATCATGCATAGGGTACTATTTCTCGTGATTCTTCAACTGTCTGGAAGCATATGCGATAAATTTCCCCTGCTGTATCAATACACATCCC